GATGGAGTCCAGAAGAGCCCCGATGAATTGGATGTGTTGTGAAGGCATCAGCACCGACTTCTCCTGGTTGAGTACAAGGCCCAGCGACTGGAGAAGAGACAAAACCATGGAAACGTGTTTTTGAAGCACGTAACGGGATCTGCCCACTATCAGCCAGTCATCAATATACGGGTAAACTGTCACACCCCTCGTCCTAAGGTGGGCGGCCACTACAGCCATGAACTTTGTGAAAACCCTTGGGGCAGCGGAGAGGCCAAAAGGTAGAACATTAAAACAATACGTTTGGCCATTTACCCTAAAGGAGAGAAATCTACGATGGTGTGGAGCAATAGAGATGTGGAAGTACGCATCCCTAAGGTCAACGGTCGCAAACCAAACCCCCCTGGAAAGGAGAGGGGTTATGGAAGCAAGAGTCACCATCCGAAATTTCTTTGGCTTGATATGTTTATTTAATGCTCTCAAATCAAGGATCGGGCGCATTCCCCCACCACGTTTGATAATCAGAAAATATCTCGAGAAGAAACAGAACGGAACCGATGAGGGGTCCACTAACGAGATGGCACCCTTTTGCAACAGCATCTCTACCTCCTCCATAAGCTGAGGGGAAGAAGCGGTGTCTTTCAACTGACCCACTCTAGGGATGTCTTGAAATTCAATAACATAACCATTAGAAACTATAGACAGTACCCAGGCATCCGTCGTGATGCGTGCCCATGCAGGGTAGAAAGGGGCAAGCCTGTCTGTGAACAAGGGGGTTGGCCCAACTGGGACCTCAGGGTCCAACGTGGTAGAACAGTGTGGAAGGGGAGCCAGATAACAGGACTCTTCTAATGGGGTCCGTGCCGGTCCGGGCGGGCCCGTCCCTAAGTTCGCAGTGGGAGCGTCAAAGGCGCTTCTTGGAGGAGCCTGAAAGCTTAGGCTTTCCTTGGAAGGGTTGCGCCCTAGCCTTTTGGAATTAAGGGGTTCGGCGGGCTCCTTGATATCTGGAAGTCCCCGAAAATCTATTCCTAAAAGGTCCTGTAGAGGAGCTATTAAAGGGTTTACGATACGGAGTCGAAGACTGTTGCCATTTGGCCCTGGGTTGGTTATACGGCTGCCACGTATAGCCAAATTTGTAGGCTGACTGCCTAACGTCCTGCTTCTGCTTCAAATTGTCATCTGTATTGGGGTTGAACAGGCCCTCCTCGTGAAAGGGGAGGTCTTCGGCTAAGGCCTTCCCTTCCTCGGAGAGGTTAGAGGCCCGTAACCAGGCATGCCTCCGTATGGAAGTGGCAGTGGCAAACAGGTTGCCTGCTGCCTCTGCCATATGTTTGGCAAAGTCTTTCTGTAGTTTCGATAATGCCAGGGCCTCTCCTTGCAGTGCCTTGGGGAGGCGCTGCTCCTCCAGCGGCATGGACTCAATATGCTGCAACATTCAGTTCCACAAAAATGATTGGTAACCGCTCATATACGTCGCATAATGAGCCATACGCGTGAATAAACTAGCTGCAAAGTACGCTTTTTTCCCCATCGTGTCTAACTTCCTGCCCTCCCTGTCTGGGGGGGTTGTCACCGAGTTCTTGGGCCGTTTGGATTTAGTGACTTCGGCCACCACAGTGTTGGCCTTAGGTGGCGTCAGCGCCCACTTGGCTGTAGACATATCAATTTTATACAATGAATCTAGCCGCCTCGGAAAGGCCGGCACCGCCAAAGGGGCCATATCGACGACTTTGGCTAGTTTTAAAAGGTAAGGCAACACTGGGAGGGCAGAAGAGGAGACCACATTTTGTTCATCCGATGGGAACATCGGGTCTTCGACATGTTCCGGGGGTTTAGGGGCAGGAATATCCAGGGCCCTTATCATCCTTTCCACCAACGCTGCAAACTTATTAAAATCAGCAGGTAGAATGACAGAAGCATCCTCACCCCCCAAGTTCTGAGTCACATCAGGTGGTTCTGAGCCGGAGTCACTGTCCCGTGGCTCATTATCGTCCTGGGCCGTAGCCCCTGGCACTTCCACTGGTGTAGCCCTCAAAGGAGTGGCCATAGTAATGTCCAGTTCCGCTGTGCGGGCTAGGCCCGAGGTGGCTGGGGCCACTGTAGCAGGAGAGTTGCATAGAGGTAAGTCAGAGCCGCTTATCGCACCCAGTGGTGCGTTGGAGGAAGGCGGCTGGCGGCCCGCGATGGGCAGTCTATCAACACCTGGGGCAGCCTCGCCCACCCCGGCCAAGAGAAGGCCCGCTGGAGAGGCCTGTGGAGGTTGGGGCCTCGCGGGCGACGGCACCATCTGGAGGCCAATCCCTCCTCGCCCCGAGCTCGGAAGGGGAGGGGGCGGGGGGGCTGCTGCCACCGAAAACGGAACCGGGGCCGGCACAAAGATGAGTTGGCCCGACGGGGCCATTTGCCAGAAGCCCTGCGGGGCCGTAGACGCTGGCTCAAGTCCCCTCCGGGACCGATGGGAGCGCCTCCGGCGCCTCGAGGGGAGTGACGAGGAGGAGGAGGAGGATGAAGTCGAAGAAGAGGAGGAGGTTGACCTGGAGCGTCTGTCGCTTCTCGGCGAGGCTCGGTACCGGCGGCGTCGGGAGCCCCTACTCCTCCGCGATGGAGATCTAGAGCGCCTGGGGCGCTTGCTGGGGCGGCGGGATCCCCGGCCCTCTCGTTGCTGGTCACCCAATGCAGCCGCTGCCGAGGGCCCGGCCGGGCCCGGCATGCCCGCCGAATAATCAGCTGGTTCCTCTCCCGGGGCCCGAGGAAGCTCCGGGATCGCCGGCCTCGGGGAGGACACTGTCAAACTCGCATCGACAGCGAGAGTGGGTGGGCCATTGAAGATCCCCCCGAATGCGCCGCTTCCAGAAGGGATAGACTCCATGGGAGGAGTTATGGGCGGAACTACGGAGGGCGGCCTTCCTTGTCTCAGCGCCGCCTCCCGTCCTCCCTCGGGCCCGGGGGGAGACAGTATCAGCATCGCCGGAGTCAGCAAGGTCTCTGGAGGCAGGCTCTCCGGTCTCGAGAAGGAGACCCTGACGGGAGTAGCATCCGCCGTCTCCAGGCACAAGGTAGGTGCTGCCAAAGGCCGATCTGGTTGTTCTTGTTGCTCCGCCATTACAGGGGGCGGAGCTGGGGCGGCCGAAGAAGAAGAGGCGCTTCCCGCCTTTTTCGAAGCCGCTCTTTTTCCCATCGTTGGACCGCGGCCATCTTGAGAGGCCTTATCTTTCGGCCTTTTAGCCTTCTTTTTGGCCAAATCTCCAGCCCTTTCCAGGAACGGCAAGGTATTTATCACTGAGGGTGTCTGCTGCGCCGATGGCGTAGGCGGGAGCAGGGCCCTCTCGTAGAGGGCGGCTTTGAGCCTAAGCTCGCGGCTTTTTCTAGTTTGTGGCGTGAAGGCCATGCAGATCGAACACGCCTGAGTGAGGTGCCCCTCCCCAAGGCAGGCCAAGCACATTGAGTGCCCGTCCGTGTTCGGATACAAGTTGGGGCAGCTGGAGCACCGTTTAAACAAGGTAGTCGCCATAGTCTATATCAAGCAGGCGAAGCCTCAAGAGGGAGCCAAGTCAAACAGTCCGGGTCAATCGATGGCAAACGGGGTCCAAATCACAATCCAATACCTTAGTCAAACCAGTCCAGATCAAAGTCCAATAAAACAAGAGAGAAGCTCGCACGGAGAAAGAAGGTTCTCAAGCTGCCAACAGGAGCGCGGAAAAGAGAACTGCTGGCTAGCCCCGCCCACGGGCTACTTATACTCGGGGAGAGGGTGGGCGGGCCTAGCTGGGGTCTAAATTGTTATTTTACTTTCTAGAAGGTTCTGAAAGCTGTTCCACGCATGCGTGTAAATACCAAATGTACGATTCACAGTGACTACGACAGGAAAACACTCTTTCAAATGATACAGCTTATAGCAACTGTTAGTGAAATGTAGCACTTTGCTGAGCAATGTTTCCTGAGGTGAATAGCTTTCTAATTTGATCTGTCCTTGATCAAACTACTGATCTCTAGTCTTCTCCCGACTAGCGATCTTAACTAGCTTTCTTTAGCCTTCCCTGACTAAAGAAACTATCTAGGTTTCTCCCTCCCGCCTTCCTAGGCTGGAAAACCTACTGCTATTCCCTCTCACTGCTCTTCCACTAAACTACTATCTCCGACGGCTGACTGAAACGACCTCCTAACTGGAACTGCTCACTCCGAGCTCCAAACCCTAACTGAACATAAACTGTCGTTTTTCAAACTCTCCCCTCTAAGCTCCTCCCACTTCTCTCTCTACTGCATCGTCTCCATGGCAACGCACTCCTCTGACTTAGGCCGCTCCAGCATTACTGCAGCCAATCTAAACACCAATACAGTTAAAATCATACAATTTATAATCAACTTCTGTACAATAAATATAATAAATAACAATATAATACTATAAATAATAATATGAATAATATAAATAATTACATAAATAATATGTTATAATCAATATAGATATTAAAAATATAAATAATATAAATAGCAATAATATAAATATAATAATATAAATAGCAATATAAATATAATAAATAATATAATACTATAAATAATAACATAAATAATGACATAAATAATGACATAAATAATATGCTATAATCAATATAAATATTAAAAATAAAAATAATATAAATAGCAATTATAATATAAATATAATATAAATAATAATAATATACATGATAATATTAAAAATACAAATAAATAATATGAATAGCTATAATATAAAAATTAATATATAAATAAATAGTAATATAAAAGTAATTATATAAATAACAATATAATAGAAATAATATGAATAATATAAATAGTAATATAAAATTATATTAATTGTATCAATAATGATATGAATAATATAAATAATAAGATAATATAATAAAAATAATAATATAAATAATGATATGAATTAATGTTGTATTTTGGCCAATGACTAGCATTAAAATAGTAATATAAATATTAATAAAAATGATAATAATAGTAGCCTGGCCCACTTGGAATCCTAGAGCTCGATGCTTTCACCTCAAAGCAGGGTCAACTGGGAATAAACAGCCTCCGAATGGGATTCCTTGGCCCGTTCCCAGGCCTTGCGCTGCAGGTTTTATTTTTAAACAGAGAGACCAATTCACCTCCGGGACAGTTGCTGTCGCTCGGCTGTGATCTTCCCAATGCAAACAGGGCAAATACTTGGTTTATTTGGACTCTTCGCAAAGCTCAAAGTCAATTAGGAGTCACAGCTTATGGTGAGATGCGTATTATTATTATTATTATTATTATTATTATTATTATCATCATTATTATTATGTTTTTCTTAATTGCCCACTAGTTACTGGCTGGAATTCTGGGCCATCAATGATCTGCATTCTATTATTAGGGTATTATCATTATCATCATCATTTGGATTTGACTGGTCCTTGGAAAATGTGACATATTCGAAGCAGCATCACCTCTTTTAATGCTTATTAGAAATAATAATACATTATTATTATTATTATTATTATTATTATTATTATTATTATTATTATTTTGTAGAGAATAATAAAGCAAGATGACCAAAACGGAGGAAGAACCAGAGAGCCAGACTTCGGGGGAATTTTATGAGAAATATGAACCGAAGGAAATATTGGGCAGGTACAGCTTTGAAACCCGTGCAAATGTGTTATATATAATTGATAAATAGATAATAGATAGATAGATAGATAGATAGATAGATAGTGTGTGTTTGTTTCTCTAGAGAGAAAGCTAGATTCTAATAGATAGACATGAGCATAGATAGATAGATAGATAGATAGATAGATAGATAGATAGATAGATAGATGGTGTGTGTGTGTGTGTGTGTGTACACATATACATACTCTATATAGAGAGCTAGATTCTAATAAGTAGATATGAGGATAGATAGTGTGTGTGTGTATACACATTATATATATACACACACACTATAACATATCTATTTATTAGAGTCTATATAGAGAGAAAGCTAGACTCTAATAAATAGATATGATGATAGATAGATATGGTGTATGTATGAGTATATATATACATATATCTACACACACACACATATATATATACACACATAATACTCTATATAGAGAGAAAGCCATATTCTAATAGATAGATATGAGGATAGATATGAGGATAGATGATAGATAGATAGATAGATAGATATTGCATGTATGTGTGTGTGTGTGTATATATATATATATATATATATAATGGAATAATAGTAGCAATAATAACAGCAGTAGTAACAATAATGGCAGCAATAATAGCAGCAGCAGTTGTAATAATAATAGTAGCAATAGTAGCAATAATAATGGTAATAATAGTAATAATAATAATAACTTGGACCCAATATACATGTGTGCTGTGTTGTTATGTACGTGTGTACAATAGTAGGAATAGTAATCATAATAATAGTAATGGTAATAGTAATAGCCGTAGCAGTAATAATAATAATGGCGGCAGCAGTAGTAGTGGGAATAATAATAGCAATAATACCTAGGACTTATACAATAGTAATAATGATAATGGGGTCTCTCTCTCTCTGAAGGAATGAGCAATGTGGTAATAGTAATAATAATAGTAGTAGTAGTAGCAATAGTAATAATAGCAGCAGAAATCATAATAATAACAATGGTAATAAAATAGCAATAGTAATATAGCAGTAGTAATAATAGTAATGGTAATAATAGGTGCAATACTAGTAATAGCAGCAGTAGTAGCAATAATAATATTGATAATGATAGCAGGGCCTCTCTCTCCCTCTCTGCAGAGGTGTGAGCAGCGTTGTGCGCCGCTGCCTGCACAAATCCACACGGGAGGAGTTTGCAGTCAAGATCATCGACATCACGGCTGGGAATCTCTCGCCAGAAGAGATCCAGGAGTTGAGAGAAGCCACGCTCAAGGAGATTGACATCCTGCGCAAGGTCTCTGGGCACCCCAACATCAGTACGTATGCCTCTATCATCATCATCATCATCATCATCATCATCATCATCATCATCATCATCCTCTTCTTCACTATTATTAGCATTACTATTACTCCTATTATTCCTACTGCTGCTACTATTATTAATATTATAGCTGCTGCTATTATTACTATTATGACTACTATCGCTTTTCGGGAGAGATAAAGCAGGGTATCTATTATTACTATCATTACCACTGTTACCACTAATATTATTATTACTACTGCTGCTATTACTATTATTACTATTATTATTACTATTGTTATTACTATTGTTATTACTATTGTTATTATTACTACTATTTAATATTGCTATTAGTATTACTACTATTGATATTATTATTACTATTATTGTTGCTATTATTACTCTTCCTATTACTACTATGACTATTACCACTATTATTACTACTGCTGCTATTAATATTATTGATATTATTATCATCACTATTTTTAGCATTACTATTATTATTACTACTGCTATTATTATTACTACTTCTATTTATTATTAATATTGCTATTATTATTACTACTTATGTTATTACCACTACTATTATTGCTATTATTACTCTTGCTATTATAATATTATTATTATTTGCCCGGTCTTTTCCTTTTAGTCCAGCTGAAGGACAGCTTTGAGTCGCACACCTTCTTCTTCCTGGTCTTTGATCTGTAAGTATTTAAAAAGACCTGAAAATCTATTTCTTAAGAACCTTCAATCTATATCCTAAACCTCACAACCTATCTCTGTGGATTCTTAATAATTATTACTAAGAATAMTATTATTATTATTATTATTATTATTATTATTATTATTAGTATTATTCCAAGATGCTCAAAGAGGGTCCCCCCCCCCCCCCAATTCAGCTCCCGGTGCCTCCAAGTTTTGCATATCATGATCACATGCAAATAGCATGCAAATGAGCTGCAAATGAGGAGGAGCTCTCTGGCTGCAGCTGTCTCAATGGGGCTCGGGTTTCCCTGTAACCTTTTTGCTTCCCGGTTCTGGGCTCTATTTATATCTTCCTAAACTTCTGAAGCAACACATCATGGATCAAACTAGAGGCTAATGTAGTGCTATCGATCGATCTATTGATCCTTCTATCATGTATATGTGTCTGTCTAGATATATATTACATGTGTGTGTGTATATATATATATATATTACATGTGTGTGTGTGTGTATATATATATATATGCATACACACATATATATATATAATCTATAATATAAAGCAAGAGCCTTACATAGTGCTATCTGTCTATCAAGCCATCAACCCATCTACTGTGTATATGTGTCTCTCTGTGTGTATATAAATGTGTTATATGTATATATATCTTATATAATACATATATAAAAAATATATAATATCTATAATATAACGCAAGGCTTTTTCCATGTCATGAGAGACGAGGATAGTGCTATCTATCAATCAAGCAATCCCTCTATTGTGTGTTTATGTGTATATACATACATACATATACATGTGTGTGTGTGTCATATTATATTACATATCTTATGTAATACATATATACATATATATATATATATATATATAATCTATAATACATAGAGGCCAACATCATGCATTCTATTGATCAATCGAACCATCCATCTATCATGTATATTTGCCTATCTACGTGTAAATACATTATATATATAATATATAGAGAGAGAGAGAGAAAGAGAGAGTATATGTGTGTGTGTGTGTGTGTGTGTGTGTATATATATATACACACACACACTCACACATGTAATATCTATTATAAAATGAGAGGCTAATATAGTGCTATCTATTTATCAATCAATCATGTATATGTGTCTGTCTGTATATTTGTGTGTGTGTGTAGGATATAGATTGAAGGCACACATATTATAATATATATATATATAACATATATAATATATATAATATATAAAGCGAGAGGCTAATATCTTTCTATTCATCCATCTGTCATGTATATGTGTCTGTGTGCATATATATAATATATGTATATATATATATTACATATTATATATTATATATAATATATATATGTATATATGTGGAAATTGATATAGTCTGGGGTCCATAGACCAAATAGGGAGCAAAAACAACAACATTCCTCCCCCACCCCAAACTCTGTGCCATTTATCCTCATATCTATTTATCCAATGTATTTATTTTTAATGTGTGTCTTTATTTCTTCTTCTCTCCCCCAGAATGAAGAAAGGGGAGCTCTTTGATTACCTGACCGAGAAAGTCACTCTCAGTGAGAAGGAGACCAGGTCAGGATCTCCTTCCTTGCTTTGGGAATTATTACATTATTATTATTATTATTATTATTATTATTATTATTATTAGTGAGGCAGGTAACAAATAACTATAATTCTTACTATTATTGCGGTGGATAAGAAATAACATTTATTATTATTATTATTATTATTATTATTATTATTATTATTATCATTAGTGAGGTGGGTAACAAATATTTATATTGTTGTCATTATTACTATTAGTAAGGTGGAGCCAATTCCCCATATTAATAAATAAGAAGAAGAAGAGGAAGAAGAAGAAGAAGAAGCAATAACTACAAATAATAGTTAATAATTATAATTATAACCCAGATGGTAATTCATTGCAATAGAGAGGTACTCACCATTCGGTTGCTGCAATGCATGAATGCTGCAGACGCCTTTTCTTATAGTGTATGATGAGAGATGGTCATCTGTCAGAGGGGCTTCGATTGTGGCAGAATTGGGATGGACTAGATGGCCTTTAGAGGTCCCTTCTGACTCTAGGATGCTATGATCTGCTCTTGGCCTGTCTTAGGAAGATCCTGCGCTCGCTGCTGGAAGTGCTGCACTTCCTGCACGGGATGAACATCGTCCACCGGGACCTGAAGCCGGAGAACATCTTGCTGGACGACGACATGAACATCAAGCTGACTGACTTTGGTTTCTCCTGCCAATTGCAGCAAGGCCATACCTTAAAAGGTCAGTTCGGACTAAAACCCAAAGTGGAGGCCATGCCTTCCAAAGGGAGAGAGAGAAGCCTCCGTCCCAACGGGTGGGACTAGATGACTCTTGGGGGTCTCTAGGGACAAAATAATAATAATAATAATAATAATATATAACAATACTAATATTATATTACATATAATAATATATATTTATATATTATAACAATATGCCATACAATATATATATTATGTTATCGTAATATAATATATATCTATGTTATAATATAATATAGATATTTACAGTATATAATAATAATATTGTAATATAATAGGTTAAAAGGTAAAGGTTTTCCCCTGACATTAAGTCCTCTTGTCCATGTGGCTGGCATGACCGACAGGTAGATCAAAGTGGTACCTATTGATCTACTCATATTTGCCTGTTTTCAAACTGCTAGATTGGCAGAAGCTGGGGACAACAGCGGGAACTCACCCCACTCCCTGGATTTCAACCACCAAACTTCTGGTCTGCAAGTTCAGCAACTCAGCAGTTTAACCTGCTGTGCCACCAAGGGCCCTAATAACATAGTATCACTGTTATTATTATTATTATTATTATTATTAATAATAATAATAATAATAATAATATAATTAATAATAATAATAGCAGACTTCTTAGAATATTGCACCCCTTCAGAATGGGATTGGGCTTGATGACCCCTGAGGACTGAGGTTAATAACAAACATAGTATCACTATTTTAAATAGTTATATAATATATTAATAATAATAATAATAATAATAATAGACTTCCCAGAATATTGCACCCTATCAGAATGGGATTGATGACCCTCGATGACTGAGATTAATAATAAAATAGTATAATTTATTATTATTATTATTATTATTATTATTATTATTATTATTATTATAAATAGACTTCCAAGAATATTCCACCCTAACAGAATGGGTCTTGGTGATCCTAGAGGACTGTGATTAATAGAAAAATTAGTATAAATTATTATTATTAATTATATTATATTAATATAATTATTAATTGTATTCTTAGTAATAATAATAATAATAATAATAATAATAATAATAGACCTCCCAGAATATTGCACCCCAACAGAATGGAATCGGGCTTGATCACACTCAAGGATTGGGATTCATAACAAAATTAGTACCAGTTATTATTAACAATATTATTATTAGTAGTACTGGTAGTAATAATACTAATAAAAGACTTTCCGGAATAGACTAGATGAGCCTTGAGGACTGTCATTAATAACAAAAATAGTATCACTCTATTATTATTATTATTATTATTATTATTATTATTATTATTATTAGACTTTCCACAATAGAGTAGATGACCTTCGAGGACTGTGATCAATAATACGAAATAGTATCAATTATAATATTAATAATTAATAGACTTCCCAGAATATCGCAGCCCTCCTTTTATTTTATGCTGTGTTACACTTTGTGATTTTCTAACAGTATTTTGCATTTGCTCCCAAACAATAAGCAAAGAGAAGCAAATGGAATCCCCTTACATTGCTATTCCTCCTTCTGTTCTTTTCTTTTCCTCTGTCATAGAGATCTGTGGGACTCCTGGTTACTTGGCTCCGGAAATACTGGAATGTTCTATGGATCCGGACCATCCTGGTTATGGGAAGGAAGTGGACATGTAAGTAGGACTTCCTGGTAAGGAAGGATGGAAAGGAAAGGAAGCAGGGAAGGAAAAGGGACAAATAGAGATGGAAGAGATGAAAAGAAAGAGACACATGGTAGGAAGGAAAGGAAGAAAGGGTGAAGTGAAAGGAAGAATGAGAGAAGGAAGCAAAGAAGGGATGGGAAATGGAAGGCTGGAGAAAGGAAGGGGGAGAAGGCAGGAATGGGAGACAGAGGAAGGAAGAATAAGAAAGAAGGAAGGATGATGGAATGAGGGAAGTTGAAAAAAGGAGGAGAAGGAAGGAAGGAAGGAAGGAAGGAAGGAAGGAAGGAAGGAAGGAAGGAAGGAAGGAGAAAGAGAGGGAGGAATGGGAAAAGGAGGAAGAGAAGAAAGGACACAAAAGAGAGAGGGAGGCAGAAGAAAGGCTAAAGAGAATGGGAGAAGATATAAAGAGAGGAAGGGAGGGAAAAAGAGATGGGAAGAAAGGAAATAGGAGACTGACTAGATATTTTAAGAGGAACAAGGAAATTTATTTCTACCCCGCCCTTCTCAACCCCCAAAGGGGGACTCAGGGCGGCTTACAAAAGGCACAATTCGATGCCAGCATAAACATAACAATGGATAAAACATGCAAACAGCAACTGTAACAACTAAGACAGTCAGTCCATATTTTAAAATCAATAAAAACAATCTAATGCTCAGCGTTCGCCATCTCATAGTCCGTAAATTCATTCCACATTGTCAAGTACTCTCGATTCTGGTCATCATTGTCCTTATCTAACCGCCAGATTGCCCGAAAGCCTGGTCCCATAACCATGTTTTTAATTTCCTTCTAAAAGAGAGGAGGGATGTCGATGACCTAATTTCCCCGGGGAGTGAATTCCACAGGTGAGGGGCCACCACCAAGAAGGCCCTGCTCCTCGTCCCCACCAATCTCACTTGTGATAGAGGTGGGATCGAGAGCAGGGCCTTCTCAGAAGATCTCAAACTCCGAGATGGGACGTAGAGGGAGATGCGTTCGGACAGGTACGCTGGGCCGGAGCCGTATAGGGTTTTGTAGGTCAAAACCAGCACTTTGAATTGTGCTCGGAACTGGATCGGCAGCCAGTGGAGCTGACATAACAGAGGGGTGATATGCTCCCTGTATGACGCTCCGGTGACTAATCTGGCCGCCACCCGCTGGACTAATTGAAGTTTCCGAACAGTCTTCAAAGGCAACCCCACGTAGAGTGCGTTGCAGTAATCTATTCGGGATGTAACAAGAGCGTGGACCACTGTGGCCAGATCTGACTTCCCAAGGTACGGGCGCAACTGGCGCACAAGTTTTAATTGTGCAAAAGCTCTCCCAGCCACCGCTAAGATCTGGGGTTCCAGGAAAGTTATGTGAAAGAGAAAAGAAGGAAAAAGAAAGGAAAGGGAAATGTTAGATTGGATTATATAGTTATGAAAGTGGAGGGAGGGGAAGAAAAGGAAGGATAAGGGAAGTGGAAGAAGGAAGAAAGGGGAGGAAATGGAATGGTATGGAAGGTAGGATGGAAGGAAGGAAGGAAGGAAGGAAGGAAGGAAGGAAGGAAAGAGGGAGAGAGGAGGAAAGAAGGGAAGAAGGAAGGAAGGAAGGAAAAAGGGAAGGGGGAAAGGAAGGAAGGAAGGAAAGGAAGGGGGGAGGGAGGGAGGGAGGGAGGGAGGGAGGGAGGGAGGAAGGAAGAAGAAGGAAGAAGGAAGGAAGGAAGGAAGGAAGGAAAAAGAAGGGAAGGGAATGGAATGGATTGGAATGGATGGATGGAAGGAAGGAAGGAAGGAAGGAAGGAAGGAAGGAAGGAAGGAGAAGGTAAGTGGAATAAGAAAGGAAGGTAAGGGAATGGAAAGGTATGGAAAGAAGGAAGGAAGGAAGGCAGGCAGAAGGGGAAGAAGGCCTTTGCTGGTGTGGTTTCTGCCCTTGCAGGTGGAGCACGGGGGTGATCCTGTACACGCTCCTGGCGGGGTCCCCTCCTTTCTGGCACCGGAAGCAGATGCTGATGCTGAGGATGATCATGAAAGGAGACTACAAGTTTGGATCCCCTGAATGGGACGACCAGTCAGACACCGTCAAAGACCTGGTGGGTGGAAGGGGGAGAAGATGGAGAAGTGAAGGAGGAGGAGGTGGAGAAGGAAGACATGATGGTGGAGGTGGGAGCAGGAGAAGCTGAAGACAGAGGAGATGGAGAAGATAGGGATGGAGGAAATTACAAAAGAAGAGGAGATTATGGCAGAGAAAAATGTTGAGGAAGACATGATGATGGAGCTAGTGATTGATAGATGATGGAGTAGTTGAAAACTGATGAACATAGCAGATGGGGAGGTAGAGATGAGGATGGAGGAAATGATAAAGGAGGAGGACATGATGGTGGAGAAGATTGAGAGATGGAGATATAGATCGTTGTGGAGGATAAAGTGATGATAGAGAAGATGAGGAGGTGGAGATAGAGATGGAGGAAAGGATACAAGAGGAAGAGGAGATTGAAGACATGAAGGTGGTGGGTGGAGAAGTTGAAGTTGTAGGAGATGGAGAAGACAGAGAGAAGAGGATGGAGAAAATGATAAAGAAGGAGATGATAATAGACAGAGAGGAGGTGGACAAGAATATGGAGGAAGACATGATGATGGAGAAGGTGATTGATGGATGGATGAGAAAAGTTGAGGACAGATGAGGGAGGAGATGGGGATGGAGGAAATGATAGAGGAGGAGATGATGGTGGAGAAAAGGGTGATGGGGAGATGATGATGGAGAAGCAAGGAGAAAGAGGAGATGACAGGAGAAGTAATGGAGAAAGAGTAGAGGGAAAAGATGGAGAGAGAGAGAGGAAGTGGAGAACGTGGGGATGAGGAGATGGAGAAGATGATCGGGACAGAAAGATGACAAAGGAGGGGCAGGAAGAAGTGATGGTGGAGCTGATTGAGGAGGACACGTACAGAGAAGGTGGGCCTCCAGATGGAAACAAGCAGGAGAAGGTGGAGCTGGGACTGGGTTTGGAGTCTTGGAAGATGACGTTACCCACTTGATGGTGCTGGGGAGGAGACGGGTTGGGTTGGGTCAGGTTCTCTGCCATCTTTGCTTCACCGCTTCTTCCTCCTCCTCCTTCCTGCAGATTGCCCACTTCCTGGTGGTGAACCCCAAAGAACGCTACACCGTGGAGGAGGCCCTGGGCCACCCCTTCTTCCAGCAGTACGTGGTGGAGGAGGTCCGCCACTTCAGCCCCTTCCGGAAGTTCCGGGTATGTCCCCTTCCTTCCAAGGACTCCTGTTTGGCGCCACCACCACCCGGTGGCCTCCCTTGATGTGCCCCACTGTCCTCTTACAGGTCATCGCCTTGACGGTCTTGGCCTCGGTCCGCATCTACCTCAACTACCGCAATGTGAAGCCCATCACGCGGGAGGTTCTGCAGCACGACCCCTACGGCCTGAAGCCCGTCCGGAAGATGATCGACGCCTGCGCCTTCCGTCTCTATGGCCACTGGGTCAAGAAGGGTGAGGCCCAGAACCGGGCCGCCCTCTTTGAAAACACCCCCAAGGCCATCCTGCTTACCCTGGCCGCTGAAGAGGAGCTCTTCTGAGGGAAGGGGAGCATCGCCAGCCCCCCAAAATGGGTGGAAAAGCGGGGGAAAAGTGTCAGGTAGAAAAATGCTGTATTGGATAGGAATGCATTGCATGTACCTCCAGTGTGTGGAAAAATACACTTCTAAAGGGCATGTGGTCACAGCACAATCCATTGTCAGGATTAAGAAGAGATATGATCCCGGAGACAGCTGAGTTATAAAGTGCCTTGTATGTGCACTTCCTCTTTGCCACATGCTTGCTCTCAGCCATCTTTTGATATCTTTTGATCTCTCTGCCTCTGTAATCTATTGCTATCCTTGTTGTGTGCGTGTCTTGCCATGGTTGTGAGTATTTCTGTATACCGATAGCAGACCTGTAAATAGTTGTATGTCACTATGACTGAAGAATAAATCTCCAAAGCAGTTTGGATGAAAGCCAGAGCTCAAATGTGCTTATTCATGCACACAAGGTCAGAGGCTGTGCTATATAATCTCTGCTGACTGTAACCAAGACTCTGCAGTGTTTCAGGAATCAGAACTAACTGCTTGCCTTTGAAACAGTCCATCCATTGGAGGAGAACGCCATGAGAATTCACATGCCTACCTAGCAGGGGTGTGTGTGTTTACTCTTTCCTCCCGCGACAGAGGAGAGGTGGTGGAACCAGGAGCATTAGCAGAACCTCAGGCTGATTACCATCAATAGGTTTTCATAGGCAGGCATTCCACAAATCGTCAGTCCCCAAGTTAAGAACAAGACCCATTCTGCAGGTTTGTTCTTATGTCCGAACAGGTACGTTCCTTATGTATTAAATGAAGCCAAACATATATACATTGTTTAGTTTTGGATTGCATAGGGAAGGGTGAACACCACTCTGGGGTTTTCTTTGTTGTCTGTGCCCCTGTTCAGGAGATTATACCTCACTTTCCAACTCTAGGCATAATAATAATAATAATAATAATAATAATAATAATAAATAATAATAACAACAACAACAAATAATTGATAATAATCTCATAGTAAGTCTATATTCCTGCTGGCAGAAAGGGGTTGAACCAGATGGCCTTTGGAGGCCCCTTCTAACTCTAGGAATCTAATAATAATAATAATAATAATAATAATAATAATTTATTATTATTATTCATCACACAGTCCTAGACGCTTGGGAAGTGTTCAACTTGTAATTTTGTGATACGAAATCCAGCATATAGATCTCATTTGCTGTAACAATAAAATAATAATAATAACAACAACAATAATAATAATAATAATAAATGATAATAATAGAGCAGTGATTCTATTTTTCTGCATGGTAGACTGGATGGATAATAATAGATGGATAATAATAGATGGATAATAATAATAATAATAATAATAATAATAATAATAATTTTTGGTCGTGTCAGGAGAGACTTGAGAAACTGCAAGTTGCTTCTGGTGTGAGAGAATTGGCCGTCTGCAAGGACGTTGCCCAGGGGACGCCCATGATTTGATGTTTTTATCATCCTTGTGGGAGGCTTCTCTCATGTCCCCGCATGAGGAGCTGGAGCTGATAGAGGGAGCTCATCCGCCTCTCCCCGGATTTGAACCTGCGACCTGTTGGTCTTCAGTCCTACCGGCACAGGGGTTTAACCCACTTCGCCACCGGGGGCTCCATATAAAGTAATAATAATAATAATAATAATAATAATAATAATAATAATAATGGATAATAATATAATGTCACTTTGCTATGGTTGTGAGTATATCTCTGTATATACTCATAGCAGACCTGTAAATAGTTGTTGCAGTGTCTGAAGAATCAACCTCCAAAGGAGTTTGGATGAAAGCCAGAGCTCAAGTCTGCTTGGTGAAGGTCAGACGCTGGGATATGAATCTCTGCTAACTGTAACCAAGACTCTGCAGCATTTTGGGGATCTATCAATACATAAAGTGCACTCTCTTAAGAATCTCTAGGTCCTCCAGTGTTACTCTATGGACAACTTATATATGACAATTATTTATGCGTTTGGAAGAAGTATAAAAGAATATACAGTACAGTCTCGCTTATCTGACATAGATGGGCCGGCAGAACGTTGGATAAACGAAAATGTCGGATAATTCTGTGAATGGCAAGAGAGTTGGGGAGCGCTCCTTTAACTGAAGGGGAAATCCAGGAGGAAAAACGGGGGCATCGAATAAGAGCATCGGATAAGATGGAATGTCGGATATTTAAAGGTCGGATAAATGAGACTCTACTGTAATCTCATTTCAAAGCTCAATAAATGTGCTTTATTTATTGGAAACGGCCTCTGTTTATATAATATATATGTAGAAAATAACAGTGTTATTAATTCCGAAAGAATTTAACACTATCCAGCAGCCTTTGGGACTACAAATCCCAACAAAGTATAGTTTTAAAAAAACCTTTTCCTGAAGTGACGTTTCATTCCTTTCCTTTTGGAAGATTTCCTTCCTGTCTTCAGAGTTCAGTCTTCTTGTTCTTTGTTTTCCTGGTGGGCAAATCAGCTGCGCAGCGGAAGCTCAAGTTGTCAGAGGCTGAATCCGGAGTATTTCCCATCCTATGGAAAAGCAACAAGGACGGTGGCTGCTTTCAAAGTGGACTGGATGGCTTTTGGGGGCCGTTCCAACCCTAGCATCCTGTGATAGGCCTACCATAGAATATAGGCTGACCATCTATCAAATCTATGGCTGTTTACATTTTTATTTGGTTATTCAACTTCAGTCCCTATTTGATTTCTCGTTTTGTATTTTAACATCCAACATAGTATTTTTCAAACCCATTTCAAACCCATTCCATCCAATACCCAAAGGTCCAAAAGCGTACCTGGTGGCCACTTCCGCCTTGTGATTGGCCGAACCGTCTACCGTATCGATCCAGGAAGCGCCCCGTAAGACCCGCCTCTCCTGGGCTGGTTGCCGGGCGTCACCCCCAAGGGGGAGATACTCCGAGGCCGTCCACTCCCAGGTGTTGCCTAGCAGGTCATACAGCCCTGGGAGGAGGGAAGCAAAGAAGAGTTTGATTCACCAAAAAAGAACTCTGCACTTGCTCAGGAACATGGGGGTCTCACTTAAGGCAGGTAAATGTATCAGGTATCGCCCCCCCCCCTCCTCCACTGGCATCTTGGGATTGTTTGATTTGTCTTCTGGTAGAAAATGCATGGAGAGATGGAGAGAGAGATGGATAGGAAGGAAGGAAGGAAGGAAGGAAGGAGGAAGGAAGGAAGGAAGGAAGGAAGGAAGGAAGGAAGGAAGGAAGGAAGGAAGGAAGGAAGGAAGGAAGGAAGATAGATAGATAGATAGATAGATAGATAGATAGATAGATAGATAGATAGAGATGTATGGACTAATTGATGGGTGGGTGGGTGTGTGAGTAGGTGAATGAATGGATAGATAGATAGATAGATAGATAGATAGATAGATAGATAGATAGATAAAATAAATAGATAGTCAGACAAACAAGATAAATAGACATATAGACAGATAGATATGGATGGATAGTTAAATAGATAAATAGACAGATATAGATAGATAGACAGTCAGACAAATAAATAAATAGACAAACAGGATAGATAGATAGATAGATAGATAGACATAGACAAATAGACAAACAAGATTGATCAATAGATAGATAGACAGATAGACAGAGTAGATAGATATGGATAGACAGACAGACAGACAGATAGATGGATAAATAGACAGAATGGACAAATAGAGATAAACAGATAGATATCTATCTATCCATATCTATCTATCTATCTATCAAGTCTGTCTATCCACCCACCCATCCATCCTATCTACTTATTTATTTCTGTCCATTCATCCTATCTATATGTATTTATTTTTCTATCCATCCATATCTATCTATCTATCTATCTATCTATCTATCTATCTATCTATCTATCTATCTATCCATCTATCTAGATAGACAGACAGACAGACAGACAGACAGACAGACAGACAGACAGACTAGGTAGATAAATGGATGGATAGATAGGATTGACAAATGGAGAAAGATAAGCTGATAGAAAGATAGACAGACAGGATGGAAAGATGGATGGATAGAGATGGATGGACCGACGGATGGACCCATAGGTATATATATAAACACAGTTATGGATAGATAGATACAGACAGACAGATATGCATTAAAGTAGGTTCTATCTGTCTATCTATCTATTGCGGACTCTCTGTATTCACTGAGATGAGAGTTGCAGGACCTCCTTCCCCAAAAGTGCAATAATTAAATAAATAAGATAAAAAAGGTAAAGGTTATCCCTGACATTAAGTCCAGTCATGTCTGACTCTGGGATGTGGTGCTCATCTCCATTTCTAAGCCGAAGAGCCGGCGTTCTCCATAGACACCTCCAAGGTCATGTGGCCAGCATTAATAAATAAATAAAAGAGCAAGCAAGAAATCCTGGCAATGCCCAGGGAGGAGCTAGAGATTCCTCAAAAGGCTATTGTCATCAATTCCAGAAACGTACCATATGCGTTCTGTGGGGGGAAGGCGGTCACCGGGGAGACTCCGTGGAAGCCGTCCTCAGCCAAGTCGCCCTCCGGGAAGGGGCCCTCGGAAAGGAAGGGGAAAATGGGAGAGGTACTCAGTAAAAGCGAATCTTCATGTGTTTGAGGCTGAGAGAGTGGCCTGTGCGATTCCACCCATCCAACTATCATCTATATATTCATCCATCCATCCATCCATCCATCCATCCATAAATCTATCATCTATCTAACTATCTATCTATCTATCTATCTATCTATCTATCTATCTATTAATCCATCCAACTATCTATCCATCAAACTATCATCTATCTATTCATCCATTTATAAATCTATAATTTCTCTATCCATCCATCCATAAATCTATCATCTATATATCCATCCATCCATCCACCCATAAATTTATCCCTTTATCTATCCCCCACCCCTCCATCCATCTATACATCTGTCATCTATCTATCTATCTATCCATCCATCCATCTAGCTATAAATCTATCAATTCATCTCTCATATCTATCCATCGATCAATCAATCCATTCATCCAGCTATAAATCTATTCATCTATCCCTCCATACATCTTGCTATAAATCTATCCATTCATCTCTCTATCTTTCCATTAATCCATCTATCAATCTATCAACCTACTCATCTCTCTCTCTCCATCCATCCATCCATCTATCCAACTATAAATCTATCTGTTCATCTATCTTTCCATTCATCCATCAATCTATCAACCTACTCATCTATCCATCCATCTATCAATCCAACTATACATCTATTAATTAATCTATCACCCATCCACCCAGCCATCTATTCAGCTATATCTATCGTATTATCTATCAATCTAATCTAATCTAATCTAATCTATGTAATGTATCTATCCTATCTACATCTCTATCTGTCCATCTATCCAGCCATCCCTCTGTCCATCCCATATGGCTTTCCTTACCTGCCAGAGGTTGGTCCGGTTGGGCAGGAATTTGTTTCCCCACGGATACAGCCTGTCTACCCCAAACATTGGGTGAAAGGAGAGAGGGGAGAAAAGCAAGGACTTCATCCCATTGTGCGCCTGTCTTTCTCCACCCCGCATCCCACCATTCGGAGGAGGGCCTTTTTCCCCCCTCCCCACCTACCTGCCAGGCCTCCTCGGGCGGCCCACTCCCACTCCTGCTCAGTGGGGAGGCGCTTCCCCTTCCAGGCGCAGAAGGCCTTGGCGTCCCTCCAGCTCACCTGCAGCACCGGGAAGTCCAGCCGGCCCTCCAGCCCTGAACCTGGACCCCAAGGCTGTGGAGGAGACATAGAAATGGACATCGGAAGATCGGTTCCCCAGAAACCCTTCCAGTTGGCTGAGTTAGTCATGGGGGTTCGGTGTGCCAAGTTTGATTCTAGTCCATCATTGGTGGGGGTCACAGTTTCTCTACAACTCCCAGAATTCAAGGCCAATCTCTCTCAAACGCCTCCAGGAATCAAATTTCGGCATATTAGGTCTGTGTGCCAAGTTTGATCCAGATCCACTGTTGTGTGAACTATAAATCCCAGTGCCTACAACTCCTATGGTGAACTCTCCCCAAACTTGCTGATCAATTCCTCTGTTTGCTGTGTGCTATAGAAAAGAATAGGAAAGGGTTAAGGGAGAGGCAGTGGGCGAGGTCATGCAAATTCCACACCAATGGGGAGGGTCAGAAACACTGGGGTGTCTGTGGTGGAGGAAACACATGCATTTTAGGGATGAAATTGTTCCCGTATGGAAATCTTCATTTCCATATGGGAAGTGTGGTGTTGGTGGAGGACTTTGGCAGGGCTCTTGGACATGTTTATGGCGCTCACTATAAACTGCAATGTCATTGGAGGGAAGGCCTTTGGTGACACCACACGATTCCTCTCAACAGATGGCCATACGCATCTCCATGGACAGTTGCAAAGCCACTGCATTTTCTTCTCCAGTTAATGCAACTTTCTGTCCTAGTGACTCACCTGCCTCCAAAACGCTTTCTCGATCGGAAGCCACCAGGGAGCCAACTGGGAAGGAAAGGGAAAAGGGTTCGATGGAAACGACAAATATGCCAAAGTCCCACCAACCCCAAGGAGGCATCAAGAAGGGAAGAGAAGGAGGAAAGAAGGATGGGAAGAAGGAAAGAAAGAAGGATCAAGGAAATAAAGAAGAAAAGGAAGGAAGGAAGGAAGGAAGGAAGGAAGGAAGGAAGGAAGGAAGGAAGGAAGGAGAAGAAGGGAACCATATCTGTCCCTCCCTACCTCCAGCTTGTGGGTCACTTTCTCCTTCAAGGCGTTTGGAACGAAATCCTGGAAGACAAAGCTCCACCCAAAGCCCTCAGCCTCCGTCCGGAATTTCTTCTCCCGCACAAACTCCCTGCCGGAAAAGAAACCCAAATAGAGCAGCAGGTTTCAGCAGATCCCGAAACAGGCCGAGACCAGGTTTCTCACCTGGGCTGCAAGGGACACCAATGCCTTTGGACTGAGTCAGATCTACTTATCTATCTATCTATCTATCTATCTATCTATCTATCTATTCATCCATTAATCAATCTAGCTATTTATTCATACATTACTCTGTCTGTCTATGAATCTGTCCATTTATTCACCAATTAATCTATGTATTGTTATTCTTCCATCATCTATAAATCTATCAATTCATCTATAATCTGTCTATTTATCCATACATAAAACCATCCATCTATTCATCCATTCATAAATCTATCCATGCATCTATCTATTCAAATATCCATCCATGTATAAATCTATCAATTCATTTATCCTTCCATCCATAAATCGATCTATTCATCTATCATCTATCTTTCTGTCTATTCATCCATCCATCTATAAATCTATCAATTCACCTATCATATATTGACCGTTCCATCCATCTATCCATCCATCCATCCAACCTATCCATCCATCTGTCTATTCATCCATTCATCTATCATCTATCCATCCACCCATCTATAAATCTATCAATTAATTTATCTATTCATCTATCCTTCCATCCACAAATCTATCCATTTATCTATCATATATCCATCCATCCATCTATAAATCTATCCATACATCTATCTATTCATCCATCCATATATAAATCTACCAGTTCATTTATCTATTAATTTATCCTTCCATCCATAAATCTATCTATTCATCTATCTATTCATCTATTGATCCATCCATCCATCCATCCATAAACCTATCCATCCATCTATCAATTCATCTATACTTCCATCCATAAATCTATCTATTCATGTATCATCTATCTATCTATCTATCTATCTATCTATTCATCTATCCATCTATAAACCTATCCATCCATCCATCTATCCAATAATCCATCCATCTATCTATAAACCTATCAATTCATCTGACCTTCCATCCACAAATCTATCCATTCATCTATCATCTACCTATTCATCCAATCATCCATCACTCTATAAATCTATTCATTCATCTATCATCTACCTATTCATCCATCCATCCATCTAGCTATCCATCCATTCTTGTGTATTTATCTCTATCTCCCTCTATCTATTTGCTGATCTGTCCATCTACCTATCAATTCATCTGTCTATATGTCCATCCATCAATCCAATCTATCAATATCTATCTATCTATCTATCTATCTATCTATCTATCTATCTATCTATCTATCTTTTTTTTGCCTATCTATCCTATTCCTCTCTTGCCTCCCAAGCAACAAAGGGATGAACGAATCAAAAACCCAAATAAAAGGATACACAGATTAAAAACAAAAACAAACCTTAAAAGACTCCGAAAAGAAATCTAGACTGGAAGCACACACACACACACACACACCATATGTATATATAATTAGCACACATATGCACACACAATGATATAGACATAGATGTAAACAACACAGAGCCTCACCGAAAGTCCCGGTTGGTGACGGGGAACTTGTCCATCATAAATGGCTCCACCGTTGAGAAAACGCCCAGGATTTGGACCTTTCCACCAGGAAGATGGACCATGGTTTCCTCTGTTCCGGCCCCTGAAGAAGGAATTATTAATATTACTACTACTACTACTACTACTATTATTATTGTTATCATCATCATTATTAATATCCCATCAAGGTTGGGATTTAAAAATGATATACATCTATTTTTTTCTACATTAATTCTGCACCCATCTGAGGTGAAGGAATTACATTTTGGAAAAGACATATCAACATCATCATTTAATAATAATAATAATAATAATAATAATAATAATTATATTAATGTATTGTCAAAGGCTTTCATGGCCGGAATCACTAGGTTGCTGCGAGTTTTGCGGGCTGTCTGGCTATGTTCCAGCAGCATTCTCTCCTGACGTTTCACCCCCATCTATAGCAGGCATCCTCAGAGGTTGTGAAGTCTGTTAGAAACTAGGCAAGTGAGGTTGATATACCTGTGGAATAATGTCCAGGGTGGGAGAAAGAACTCTAGTCTGTTTGACAATGAATGTTGCCATTGGCCACAACAACTCGTGCTCTGCTTAGTGTGGATGTTGTCATTGGCCACCTTGATTAGTACTGAATGGCCTTGCAGCTTCAAAGCCTGGCTGCTTCCTGCAAGGTGCCGGTAGCAGACACCATCGCACGAATCAACCAGAATTTTCCAGAAGTCATCCCAACCTTGTTTCACGATTTCCACAATGAACAATGAATAATAGCAATGGAAAGAGTAGCCATGAAGAGCCTTCTTAGCCTTGTCTGAAAGAAACACCCCCCCACAAAGGATTCCCCAGTCAGCAACCAGCCAAGCTCCGAAGCTGCAAGGCTATTATTCAAGGGAGCCAATGGCAACATTCACTGTCAAACAGACAAAGAGTTCTTTCTCCCACTTTGGACATTATTCCACAGATAGATAAACCCACTTTTCCTAGTTTCCAACAGACCTTACAAGCTTTGAGGATGCCTGCCATAGATGGAGGCGAAACGTCAGGAGAGAATGCTTCTGGAACATTTCCCCCAGGCAGGAAGCAGGCAGCCTTTGAAGCTGCAAGGCTGTTCAGTGTTAATCAAGCTGGTCAATGGACATTATTCCACTTTCCTCGTTTCCAACAGGCCTCACAAGCTCTGAGGATACCTGCCATAGATGGGGGTGAAACGTCAGGAGAGAATGCTGCTGGGACATGGCCAGACAGCCAGGAAACCTCACAGCAACCCAGTGTTGATGAAGTTGGGAGGCCAAAGGAACATCTGATTATGATAAAAGAATATAATAATAATTTATGTCATAAAATAACATAAATTAAGAGAGAGGGAGAGAGAGAGGGAGAGCAGAGGATGATGGGACTTGTAGTCCTTACCATTCAGAGGCAGGAAGAAGAAGGAGGAGGAAAGGAGCCAAAAGCCCAGCATGCTCTCCACTTCCCTTCTTTCAATGGACTTCGTGAGAAGAAAACTACAATTCCCAGCATGCCTGGAGGGCGGGACCGGAAATGACGTCGTGCAACTTTGTAGGCTACAACTTCCTCCCAAGAAGCATGCTTTGGAACCAATGAAAGAGTGCTTTGGTTCAGTTCGGAAAATCAGCTTCCTCTTTAGGCTTATTATTATTATTATTATTATTATTATTATTATTATTATTATTATTATTATCCAATTCAGAAGTAAGATTCTCCTTTAGGAAAATAATAACATATCCTAATATATATTGATACGTATTCATAATAACATATTATTATAAACAATAATAATAATATTAAATATATAATAATATTTTTAAAAATATTGAATATTAATTAATTATTTTTAATTTATTATTATATATTATAATAAATAATATATTTTATAATACCATTATTCATATTTATTACTATATTATTAAATCAATATTAATAAATTAAAATTAATACTAAATATTAAATATTATTATATATAATAGTAATAATATATCCTATGAGAAAAACTTATTTCTGAACTCATATTACAGTTAATAATATCCCAAACTAAAGGAGAAGCTTATTTTTGAATAATAATAATAATAATAATAATAATAATAATATATCCTAATAATCACAGTCCTAAACACTTGGGAAGTGTTTGTGATTTTGTGTTCCGAAATCCAGCATATATATCTCTTTTGCTATGTCATACTGTTTTTGTGTCAGTAAAATAATATATCCTATTATTATTATTGTTACTATTATTCTCCAGAAATAAGTTTCTCCTTTAGGAGTTATTATTGTTACTATTTTTGGTCCCCGGCTTTGCTCAGGTTATTTGAAAAAGTCTGTTTTCTAATTGTCCAAAATGCATAGGTTGTGGGTGAACTACAATTCACATCAGGCCAGCTTAACCCCCTGAAACTCCCATTAGTACTTAAAGTGTGTTATGTTGGGCAAGTCTGCTCTGGATGCCTCATCAGTGGGGTTCAATGTGCTCCCTGGCTGCAGGGTAAACTACAACTCCCACTATGGTGAGTCAGTCCCATCAAATCCACCCCCCCCCCCCAAGTAGGTTGTAGTCCAGGTCCATCATTGGTGGAGGTCAGTTTCCCTGGTTGTGAGTGAACTACAACTCCCAGAAAGCAACATCAGTTCCCCCCAAACCCCTCCAGTCATCAAATTTCGGCATATCAGGTCTGTGTGCCAAGTTTGGTCCAGATCCATCAGTGTTTGGGTTCACAGTGCTTTCTGGATATAAGCAAACTACAACTCCCCCAAATCAAGGTGCATTTCTCCCAATTATGAGGGCCCTGTGTGCCAAGTTTGGTCCAATTCCATCTTCGGTGTTCAGAGTACTCATTGAGTGCAGGTGAACTATAAATCCCTGTGCCTACAACTCCAAATCGTCCAGGCCAATTCCCCTCCAAAGCCACCAGTATTCAAATTTGGGCATATCAGGTATTCATGCCAAGTTTGGTCCAGATCCATCCTTGTTTGGGTTCATAGTGCGCCCTGGATGTAGGTGAACTACAACTTCTATAAATCCCTCCAAAGAACTCCAGAATTTTTTATTGGTCATGGGGGTTCTGTGTGCCAAGTGAGTTCCAGGTCCATTGTTAGTAGAGTTCAGAGTGTCGTTCTTAGATTGCAGGTGAACTATACATCCCAGGACCTACAACTCCTATAAATCATGGTGAACTCTCTCTAGTATCTGATCAATTCCTCTGTTTGCTGTGTGCCATAGAAAAGAATAGGAAAGGGTTAAGGGAGAGACAGTGGGTGGGGTCATGCAAATTCCACATCAATGGGGAGAGTCAGAAACACTGGGATGTCTGTGGTGGAGGAAATACATGCAATCTAGGATGAAATTGTCTCCGTCTGAAAGCCTTCCCTTGGGTGGTGGGAAGTGTGGTGTATGTGGACATTGGCAGAGCTTTTGGACATGTTTACGGCACTCGCTATAACCTGCAATGTCATTGGAGGGAGGACCTTTCGTGTCTCCTGAGTAGTGGGAGATAGAGCTGTTTGTGGAGGCAGGAGCTTGTTTGTCTAAGTGGACACCCCAGCCACATACATACATACATATTTACAGATTTTCACTTTTATTCTGTGTATAGAAGATAGATTATTATTATTATTATTATTGAGTTCAGAAATATTTTTTCCCTTTAGGATTTATTACTATTTTTATTATTCAGAAATACGTTTCTCCTTTAGTTTGCAATATTCTTATAAGTTCAGCAGTAAATTTTTCCTATAAGATATATTACTATTTGGAAATAAGCTTCTCCTTTAGTTTGGGATATTATTAATAGTAATATTAGTTCAGAAATAAATTTCTCCTTTAGGATTTATTATCATTTTTATTATTCAGAAATAAGCCTCTAGTTTGCAATATTTTTATAAGTTCAGCAATAAGTTTTTCTTATAAGCTATATTATTATTATTATAATAAATATTATTATTTGGAAATAAGCTTCTCCTTTAGTTTGGGATATTATTAATAGTAATATTAGTTCAGAAATAAGTTTCTCTTTTAGCATGTATTATTACCATTATTATTTCAGAAATATTATTATTATTATTATTATTATGTTCAGAAATAAGCTTCTCCTTATAGAATAGATTATTATTATGATTTGGTTAAAAATAAGCTTTTCCTTTAATCTAGGATATTATTATTTCACAAATAATCTTACGTTTTGGATATTACTATTAGTATTTCAGAACTAAGCTCATTTAGAATATATTATTATTATTATTATTATTATTAATCAGTTAAATAATAAGCTTATCCTTTAGTCTGGGATATTATTATTTCACAAATAATATTTCATTTGGGATATTAGTATTACATTAGTTCATAAATTAACTTCTCTTTTAGGATATATTTTTGTTATTATTATCATTAAGTTTAAAAACAAGCTTCTCCTTTAGTTTGGGGTATTATTATTATTAATATTGATTCAGAAATAAGTTTATCCTTTAGGATATATTATTATTATTATTATTATTATTATTATTATTACATTCAAAAATAAGCTTCTCCTTTAGTCTGGAATATTATTATTATTATTATTATTATTATTATTATTACTACTACTACTACTACTTGTCCAGAAATGAGCTTCTCCTTTATTTTGGGATATAATCTGCATTTTTTCCTCCGCCAAAGGTGTCTCAAAGCAGCTCACCTTTCAAGCCATAACAAAGGGGACATCCATCTGTCAATCTAGAGACTACAACTCCCAGAATCCTAATTTGGGGAGAGATCCTGGGAGTCGTAGTCCACGTAAGTATGTGTTGCTTGTGTAGACTCTGGACAAAGCAGCCACAAATAAAAAGAACACGAAGCATGTTGTGGTCATTTGTCATTTACTGGGAAGAATAATAAGAAAGAAGAATGAACTCGTGGTAAATGGCATCACTTGGGGAATAAATAGCGATCCTTGGATGATCCGGCTTCTCTTCCTTCAGCCTTTGAGGGAGGACATCCCGGCCCTCATGATCTCGTCCACCAGGAGGATGTTGCTGGCAATAACCGTGCTGCGGAAGAGAATACTATAAGTGGAAAGGAACCCTAAAGGCCATGTGGACCAACCCCCTTTGGCCTTAATATTATAATATTATAATTAATCATTAATAATTTGGAAGGGGTGGAGTGGATGACCCTTAAGGTCTTCTCTAACTCCAGCATTATTAATTAAGGACATTATTAAGGACTCCAGCATTATTAATATTAATATGGAAAGGATGGACTAGATAGCCCTTGGGGTCCCCTCCAACCATAAGATTACATTCATCATCGTCATCGTCATATGGAAGGGATGGACTGGATGACCCTTGGTGGTCTCCTTCTACTCTACAACTCCATTATTATTATTATTATTATTATTATTATTATTATTATTATTATTATTATTATTATTTAGGAAGCATGGGCTGGATGGCCCTTGAGGTCTCCTCCAATCCTAGAATTACAATAATAATAATCATCATCATCATATGGAAGGGATGGATGGCCCTTGACGTCTCCTCCATGGCCCTTGGGGTGCCCTCCAATTCTAGGATTTCAATAAGAATCATAATAATTTGGGAGGGGTGCACTGGATGGCCCTTGGGGTGCCCTCCAATCCTAGGATTACAATAAGAAGGAAGGAAGGAGTGGACTGGATGACCCTTGAGGTCTCCAACTCTACGACTCTAGTATTATTATTAATAATTAGAAAGGAGTGGACTGGATGGCCCTTGGGGTCTCCTCCAACTCTAGAACCTCAACATTATTAATAATAATATGGAAAGGATGGACTGGATGGCCATTGAAAGCTAGGATTCCATTATTATTATTATTATTAATAATAATAATAATAATAATAATACGGAAGAGATGGCCTGGATGGCCCTTGAGGTCCCCTCTAACGCTAGGACTCTAGCATTATTAATAATAATATGGAAAAGATGGGCTGGGTGGCCCTGGAGGTCCCCTCCAATTCTAAAATTACAACAGCAACAACAACAATAATACAAAAGGGATGCACTGGATGACTCTTGAGGTCTCCTCCAACTCTAGGACTCCAGCATTAATAATAATAACAATAACAACAACAACAATAATATGGAAAGGATGGTCCGCTCCAATCCTAGGATTCCCTTATTATTATTATTATTATTTATTATAGAATGGACTGGGTGGCCCTTGGGTCACCTCCAATGCTAAGATTCTATTATTACTATTGTTATTGTTATTGTTATTATTATTATTAGAATGGACTGGGTGGCCCTTGGGGTCACCTCCAATGCTAAGATTCTATAATAATAATAATAATAATAATAATAATAATAATAATAATAATAATATGGAAAGGATGGACTGGGTGGCCTTCCAAGTCCCCTCCAACCTTCGGAGTCTATACTTCCTCCTTGAGAAGCCTTAAGAGGCTCGAAGATGGGCCAAGCCTTAAAATAGTCACCTGGAATGAAGCAGTTGCTTCTTCACGTTGTAATTGTCCCAG